AAAAATTTTATATTTGAAATAAAAACATGCAATTTTTTAAAATAATAAATTTATGAATTTATCTCTATTTTATGATTTAATTAAAGTATTTTTATTCTATTTTACATATATATTCTTATTTTTACATTTCTATTTCTATATTTTTATTTACATGTTTCATGACGTTTAGCTATTTTTATTTTATAAAAAAATATAATTTTTAGGTCATTTATGTTCTTGTCCTGGTGCTTTCGCTGACTCAAGCCGAGCAAGAAAATAAAGTGCAAAAGCCAGAAGTTACGAAACTGGAAGTGGTGAACCTTGACGAGATTGAAGTTACGCCTAATTCCAAGCAATCCGACATTCAACGGAAAAGAAATTCTGGATACATATATAGTAAACCGAATCATGTTTCTTCAAACGCTCGGTTGCGTTTTCAAGGGTATCAGTCTAGAGGTCACATTGTATCCAAATTTCCCGGTCAATTAAGCAGACCGTTTACGAAATATGGATCACCGAATCACTCAACTTCCGGTCCAATCATACAAAGATATCGTACTCAACAGCATCGAAACAAATTACAGCATCAAGTCAATCAACAACAATCGATCAGTTTCCATGATGGGTTGGTGGAACAGGAAGTACCGAGTCCGATCAGAAACATCGATTTCGCGGAAGTGAATCCGATCGCCAGTCAAAATAACGAACCGTTCGGCATGCACACGGCCAATTATTTACCACCGCAAAATCAAAAACTTCCGGCTTATCCTTCAACGGATAATTTTGTTCCGCAGTCATCACAGAGTTCTCCAGATCACGGACAAGCTCACGGCATAAATTTGCAGAATCAGAACTTGGTGCAGACTCAGAATCATCAGATCTCCGACGCTGCACTCTTCCTGTCTGAGAATGCACACGCGATTCAACAACTTTATGGCGCACCCGCAAACGATCAGAATTTCGCGCCTAACAATGACCAATTTCAAGATATCGGCAATCAGATTCAGAATCTGAACGATCAATTTAGAAACTTTGAGAGTACCTCGCAGAGCTCCCAGGAATTCCGGGGTGTATTGCCATCGTATGCATCGGGAACGCTTAATTCTCAAGAGACTCTGGAGCAGATTCAATCTTTGGAGAAGGATCGGTTAATCGTGCAGCTGCAACAAGCTCTCGCTCAAGCCCAGACTACTCCGAGAGCGGAAGCGGCGGGAAGATACGCTCAGAATCAAGCGAGTTTTATTCAGAATCAGAAGCTTTTAGAATCTATAAGTCAACAAATAAAGTCACAGATTTCGACGCCGCAAACTGCAACTTTTGGTTCCGAAAATACCGCCTTTAATCAGTCGCCTTTTTTACCAGGAACTACAGTTAATCCTTTAAAAGGATTTTCTTTTAACTACGGTGTCTCGACTACCACGCCGATTACTCCCACGACAACGGTAACTGGAATTTCGATCACGAGACCTTCGCAAGCATCCAAAATCGACGGTACTACTCAAATAGCATCATTGCAACCTGTTCCTGGATCAGCCACAGCTGGATCTCCTATAGGAATCCCAGTTTATGGTGGATTCGTGCCAACTTTCATCGCGGGAACCAACTTAGTTCCTAATTACAGTACCGGCATTTTTACATCTAAACCTGTCAAACCTGTGCAATCCTCCGAAACATCGCCAACTCATTTTGGAATACCGATTCCTACGGAACCGTCTCAGAAACCGGCAGGATTGGCGCCATCAATCCCGTCAACGACGATACCTTCATCCACTTCTTCTGCTAATCAACCAGGACCTGTTTTTACACCGGTGATCACGCCAGTAACTTTGCCAGTTCAACCAATACGACCTGTTGCACCTCCATTACATTCTCTCGCGACGCCGGTACATCCGGTCACTTCCGTGTTGCCTATAAATCCTCAAGTATACCCGGCACAAGTCACCCCCGCTGTAACATCTAGTGTACAGCATACATACGGCATACAAAACGCATTAATCAATCCTGTTCTTTATAAACCAGTCAAAGCAGTCTATCCGGTATATTATTATCCCAATGTCGCGTACCAACTGCAAAAGCCTGCCTTGCCGAATTATCCATGGAATTACGCACCTTCGTACACACAGACGAAACCAACATAAATATGAAAATGAGACGCTCTTATTCTTCACAAACTGGATCGTAAATCGTTCTATGATATCGAGACTGACTGTTTACCCGCGCGGAAAAGAGAGAAGGAGAGATTAAAAAGAAGAAAGTACTGGAAGGAGAATTATTATATCGTAGTCGCGTGATTCTGATATGCTAATAACGCTACATCCTATTCCTAATTATTTTTTTTATATAAACAATATTATTTTTTATTTTTTTAGAATTTTAAGTTAACTAAAAAAATTGTGCGTTCTGCAAATTAATTATTTTACTAAGAAATTTTATTTATTTTTATAATAGAGAGATAGTTTTGTTATCGCATCTTTATTACAAAAATGTTTCTTAACAGATGAACGGTAGTGTAAATGGAAATAGTATAAAACTATAAAATGAATTTTTTTTATTGATTAAAATATTTTAATCTCTAATTATTTTTATTGCGCAGTTAATTTATTTAAATAAAATTTTTCTAATTACAATGTTTTAAATTAATAGTTAATATTTATCTCAGAGAATTAATTCTAATAAAAACTATTTGTAATTTTGTATTCAGCGCTTACAATTAGTATGTACGTTCTGTTATTGAAGAGTTACTATGTGTGATGATTGTTCAATATAACTCGTGCCAAGTATCCTTCTATTATTGCGCATATATGCGTACTTCAAAATGTTTTGAAGAAAGCGAGCGTAATAATGGATGTAGTTATTTCATTGAAATTGAAATTTTGTTGCAAAAATAACAAGCAGGTAGTTTTTTAATTGTCGATCACGAATGAAAGAAATTTCGTCATTTGCCATACAAATGTGTTTGAAAATATTATTTATATAATAGAAAAAGATTTTTGCTGATTTCCTAGGCAAAGTATTTTTCCTATTTTTTTATTTTTATACTTATATATAAATTAATATATATGTTATACTTAATAAGAGAAAGTAGATCATCTGTGAATGTCATATGAGCGTGAAATTTTATGTACTTTTTCTGTCTCCAAAATAGATTTATCGAACATATGTAAATATATGTTTTATTTATTTTGTTAAATAAATATTTTTTACTTGAAAATAAGAGAGAGACAATGCTTTTTCAAATATATAAATTATTTCAAAT